TCATCGTGATGTGGTTCATGTTTATGGTCATCTTTGGGTTTCTCACCAGTCTTCTCGTCATGTGATTTCGGCTTTTGATCTTTCTGAACATGTTTTTCTAATGTCTTTTTCACCTAAAGAATTCCGAAGATGCATGATGATGCTCGTGATCGAAGCGCTTCTCGCCGATATACTAGACTAATGCAGTAGCTAGCTGCTGTTTAACCGAACTGATCAACAGTTTCTGTGTATGTCAGATTCAAATTGTAGTCGAGAGAATTTCAACAGAAAGTACTCGTTGTACGAGGGATACTGTGTCAAAAGTCATTCACCTGAACTGAGAATGTATGTTAGACTCTGCCTCGATAGCTCACTGCTTAGAGCTTCTGGCCTGTTACCAGACGGTCCTCGCTTCAATTCCAGCTCAGCCATAGATTTTCTTTTCATGTGTCTGTCTCTCAAATTAGCCTCTGCTATAGCCCTTGTAAGATTCATGATTCTTAAAAGAAATGATGAATCGAATGCAGTTGAAATACGTACATCGTCATGTTTACATGAATCTTTCAATGAAGTTTTGATTTTCTCGTGATGCTCTTTCTCGCCACCATGACATTTGTAATGAAGGGCTGAATGTGTTGAGTTAAGTTCTTCGACATCATGAACATCGATTTTCACCTCTTGGTTGACTTTATGTTGATCACGTAAGTGTGAATTGACTTTCTTTTCTATTTCATGACCAACCGACTTTTTATCATCTTTCAGCGATTTATGATCACAATTTTTAACAATCAATGTACCCTCAAGAGTCTTGTCGTCTTTGGCGACAATATGATGTGATTCGTGATTAATCTTCACTGTTTTCTTGACGTCTTTTTCATCGTGATGTGGCTCATGTTTGTGTTCATCTTTGGGTTTCTCATCGTGATGTGGTTCATGTTTATGGTCATCTTTGGGTTTCTCACCAGTCTTCTCGTCATGTGATTTCGGCTTTTGATCTTTCTGAACATGTTTTTCTAATGTCTTTTTCACCTAAAGAA